GCTCCGGCGCATGCGCACGGGGCAGCCCGGGGAAGGGCGGGGCCTTTCCTCACGGAGCGGCCGCCCCTGGGCACGGGGAGGAGGGGCGGGCAGCCCCGTTCGGGTGCTGGGGTCCGGTCTGAGGTAATGGGGTCCCATTTGGGGTACCCGGGTCCAGTTTGGGTGCTGGGGTCCTATTTGGATTGCTGGGGTCCGTTCTGAGGTAATGGGGTCTCATTTGGGGTACCCGGGTCCCAGTTTGGGTGCCGGGGTCCTATTTGGAGGTGCTGGGGTCCGTTCTGAGGTAATGGGGTCCCATTTGGGGTACGCTGGTCCCAGTTTGGGTGCTGGGGTCCTATTTTGGGTGCTGGGTCCCACTTTCCATGCAAGGGTCCCATTTTTTGGGGTGCTGGGTCCCATTTATGGTGCTGGGGTCTCATCTGGGTGCTGGGGTCAGGTCTGAGGTAATGGGGTCCCATTTGGGGTACCCGGGTCCCAGTTTGGGTGCCGGGGTCCTATTTGGGGTGCTGGGTCCCACTTCCCATGCTAGGGTCTCATTTTTGGGGTGCTGGGGTCCCATTTGGGTGCTGGTGTCTGGTCTGAGGTAATGGGGTCCCATTTGGGGTACCCGGGTCCCAGTTTGGGTGCTGGGGTCCGTTCTGAGGTAATGGGGTCCCATTTGGGGTACGCTGGTCCCAGTTTGGGTGCTGGGGTCCCACTTTGGGTGCTGTGGTCTCATCTGGGTGCTGGGATCCGGTCTGAGGTAATGGGGTCCCATTTGGGGTACCCGGGTCCCAGATTGGGTGCGGGGTTCCTATTTTGGGTGCTGGGTCCCACTTTCCATGCTAGGGTCCCATTTTGGGGGTGATGGGGTCCCATTTGGGTGCTGGGGTTCGGTCTGAGGTAATGGGGACCCATTTGGGGTACCCGGGTCCCAGTTTGGCTCCTGGGGTCCTATTTGGAGTGCTGGGGTCCGGTCTGAGGTAATGGGGTCCCATTTGGGGTACCCGGGTCCCAGATTGGGTGCTGGAGTCCTATTTTGGGTGCTGGGTCCCACTTTCCATGCTAGGGTCCCATTTTTGGGGTGCTGGGGTCCCATTTGGATGCTGGGGTCCGGTCTGATGTAATGGGGTCCCATTTGGGGTACGCTGGTCCCAGTTTGGGTGCGGGGTTCCTATTTTGGGTGCTGGGTCCCACTTTCCATGCTAGGGTCCCATTTTTGTGGTGCTGGGGTCCCATTTTGGGTGCTGGGGTCCCATTTGGGTGCTGGGGTCCGGTCTGAGGTAATGGGGTCCCATTTGGGGTACCCGGGTCCCAGTTTGGGTGCTGAGGTCTTATTTTGGGTGCTGGGTCCCACTTTCCATGCTAGGGTCCCATTTCTGGGGTGCTGGGGTCCCATTTGGGTGCTGGGTTCCGTTCTGAGGTAATGGGGTCCCATTTGGGGTACGCTGGTCCCAGTTTGGGTGCTGGGGTTTTATTTTGGGTGCTGGGTCCCACTTTCCATGCTAGGGTCCCATTTTTGGGGTGCTGGGTCCCATTTATGGTGCTGGGGTCTCATCTGGGTGCTGGGGTCCGGTCTGAGGTAATGGGGTCCCATTTGGGGTACCCGGGTCCCAGTTTGGGTGCTGGGGTCCTATTTTGGGTGCTGGGTCCCACTTTCCATGCTAGGGTCCCATTTTTGGGGTGCTGGGGTCCCATTTGGGTGCTGGGGTCCGGTCTGCGGTAATGGGGTCCTATTTGGGGTACCCGGATCCCAGTTTGGGTGCTGGGGTCCTATTTGGGGTGCTGGGTCCCACTTTCCATGCTAGGGCCCCATTTTTGGGGTGCTGGGGTCCCACTTTGGGTGGTGGGGTCCCAGTTTTTGGGGTACCCAGGTCCCATTTTTGAGTCCCTGGGGCCCAGTTTGAGTCCTAGGTTCTGATTTGGGGTCCTGTTTTGGGTGCTGGGGTCCCATTTTCAGGTCCTGGGTTCCCACTTTGGGTGCTGGGGTCCCTTTTGTGTGCTGGGGTCCCATTTTGTGGTACCCAGGTCCCACATTGGGTGTTGAGGTCCCACTCTGGGTGCTGGGGTCCCATTTTGGTGGTACCCAGGTCCCATTTTTTGGGTGCTGGGGGCCCATTTTGGGTCTTGGGGTCCTATTTTGGGTGCAGGGGTCACATTTTGGGTGCTGAGGTCCCATTTTCAAGGTACCAGGTCCCATTTGGGTGCTGAGGTTCCATTTCTGAGGTCCTGGGGTCCCATTTTTGTGGTACCCAGGTGCCATTTTGGGGTCCCAGGTCCCACTTTTGGGTACCCAGGTGCCAGTTTGGGTGCAGGGGTCCCGTTTGGGTGCTAGGGTTCCATTTGGGTGCTAGGGTTCCATTTGGGGTACCCAGGTCCCATTTGGGTGCAGGCATCCCATTTGGGTGCTGGGGTCCATTTGGGTGCAGGCATCTCATTTGTGTGCAGGTGTCCCGTTTGGGTGCTAGGGTCCCAATTCGGTGCTGGGTCCCATTTGGGTGCAGGGGTCTGGTTTGGGTGCTAGGCTCCCAATTCAGTGCTGGGTCCCATTTGGGTGCAGGGGTCCCATTTGGGTGCTGGGGTCCCATTTCGGTGCTGGGTCCCATTTGGGTGCAGGGGTCCCATTTGGGTGCTAGGGTCCCAATTCGGTGCTGGGTCCCGTTTGGGTGCCGGGGTCCCGTTTGGGTGCAGGGCTCCCATTTGGGTGCTAGGGTCCCATTTGGGTGCAGGCGTCCTGTTTGAGTGCAGGAGTCCCGTTTGGGTGCAGGGGTCCCATTTGGGTGCTGGGGTCCCATTTGGGTGCTAGGGTTCCATTTGGGGTACCCCGGTCCCATTTGGGTGCAGGCATCCCATTTGGGTGCTGGGGTCCCATTTGGGTGCTAGGGTTCCGTTTGGGGTACCCAGGTCCCATTTGGGTGCAGGCGTCCCTTTTGAGTGCTAGGGTCCCATTTGGGTGCTAGGGTTCCATTTGAGTGCTAGGGTTCCATTTGGGGTACCCAGGTCCCGTTTGGGTGCTGGGGTCCCATTTGGCTGCTAGGGTCCCATTTGGGTTCAGGCGTCCCATTTGGGTGCTGGGGGCCCGTTTGGGTGCTAGGGTCCCGTTTCAGTGCTGGGTCCCATTTGGGTGCTAGGGTCCCATTTCAGTGCTGGGTCCCATTTGGGTGCTAGGCTCCCATTTGGGTGCTGGGGTCTTGTTTGGTTGCAGGGGTCCCATTTGGGTGCTAGGGTTTCATTTGGGGTACCCAGGTCCCGTTTGGGTGCTAAGGTCCCATTTGGGTGCTTGGGTCCCATTTGGGTGCAGGCGTCCGTTTTGGGTGCTAGGGTCCCATTTCAGTGCTGGGTCCCATTTGGGTGCTAGAGTCCCATGTGTGTACTGGGGTCCCATTTGGGTGCTAGGGTTTCATTTGGGATACCCAGGTCGCATTTGGGTGCAGGCATCCCGTTTGAGTGCAGGCATCCCATTTGGGTGCCAGGGTCCCGTTTGGGTGCAGGGGTCTCATTTGGGTGCTAGGGTTCCATTTGGGGTACCCAGGTCCCGTTTGGGTGGAGGCATCCCATTTGGGTGTTAGGGTCCCATTTGGGTGCTGGGGTCCTGTTTGGGTGCAGGGGTCCCATTTGGGTGCTAGGGTTTCATTTGGGGTACTCAGGTCCCGTTTCGGTGCTAGGGTCCCATTTGGGTGCAGGCATCCCATTCAGTGCTAATGTCCCATTTGGGTGATGGGGTCCCATTTAGTGCAGGCGTCCCGTTTGGGTGCTAGGGTTCCATTTAGGGTCCCCAGGTCCCATATGGGTGCAGGAGTCCCATTTGGGTCCTGGGGTCCTATTTGGGTGCAGTCGTCCCATTTGTGTGCTGGGGTCCCATTTGGGTGCTAGTGTCCCATTTCGATGCTGGGTCCCATTTGTGTGCTGGGGTCCCATTTGGGTGCTAGGGTTCCATTTGGGGTACCCAGCTCCCGTTTGTGTGCTGGGGTCCCATTTGGGTGCTGGGGTCCCATTTGTGTGCCTGGGTCCCATTTGGGGTGCTAGGGTTCCATTTGGGGTACCCAGGTCCCATTTGGGTGCGGGCGTCCCGTTTGAGTGCTACGGTCTCATTTGGGTGCAGGCATCCCATTTGGGTGCTAGGGTTCCATTTGGGGTACCCAGGTCCCGTTTGGGTGCTGGGGTCCTGTTTGGGTGCAGGGGTCCCATTTGGGTGCTAGGGTCCCATTTGTGTGCTGGGGTCCCATTTGGGTGTGGGATCCCATTTGGGTCCTAGGGTCCCATTTGGGTGCTAGGGTCCCATTTGGGTGCTAGGGTGCTGTTTGGGTGCTAGGGTCCCATTTGGATGCTGGGGTCCCGTTTGGGTGCAGGGGTCCCATTTAGTGCAGGTATCCCATTTGGGTGTTAGGGTCCCATTTGGGTGCTAGGGTTCCATTTGGGTGCTACGGTTCCATTTGTGTGTTAGGGTCCCATTTGGGTGCTAGGGTTCCATTTGGGGTACCCAGGTCCTGTTTGGGTGCTGGGGTCCCATTTGAGTGCTGGGGTCCTGTTTGGGTGCAGGGGTCCCATTTGGGTGCTAGGGTCCCCTTTGGGTGCTAGGGTCCCATTTGGGTGCTGGGGTCCCCTTTGGGTGCAGGGGGGTCAATAAAGTGGGGGTTCTCTCTGTCACAGTTTAATCACAGACACTCACAGCTCACACCAACAACACCACAATGGGGGGGGCCCAGTTCAATTGGGGGGGGCCACAGCACCCCATAATCCCCATGGGGCACCCCCCCTTTTCCCTTCCCCCCCCTTTGTTTTGCACCACCAACACCCGCCCCCCCCCCAAACCCACCCCAAGGGGGGGTCCCCAAATTCCCCCCCCATTATAAATAATTAACACCCGGGGGGGGGGAGAGCCCCAATTTTCCCATCATGCAACGTGCCCCCCCCCCCATCCCCCCCATTTCCATTATGGCTTTTGGCAGGATTTGGGGTGTGGGGGGCAGGGGTAGGGGGGGGTTAGGCAGGATTTGGGGTACGGGGGGGTACATGGGGTCCCCCCCTAAGTGAGGGTGATGAAGGCTGAGGCCTTGTCCTTGAGCTGCCGCAGGCAGAGGTGGCAGCTCCAGCTGCCTGCGGGGGGGGCACACACAAAGAGGGGGGTCAATGGGTGGGGGTACCCCCAAAGTGCCCCCCCAGCCCCCCATTGACACCCCCCCCCCACCCCACACTGACCTTCGGGGGGCTCGGCCATGGGGGGGCTCAGGCAGTACATGTGGTACCCCCGGTCGCAGTCGTCACAGAACAGCAGCTGGTCCTGGGGGGGGGTGATGGTGATTTGGGGGGGGGGGTTGGTGGTTTTGGGGTGCAAGGGGTAATTTCGGGAGGTTTTGGGTTGATTTAGGGAGGTTTTGGGTTGATTTAGGGGTGGTTTTGGGTAAATTTGGGGTGATTTAGGAGTGGGTTTGGGGTGATTTGGGGGGGTGTTTTGGGGGGGGTTGGTGGTTTTGGGGTGATTTGGGGTGGGTTTAGGGGTGATTTGGGGAGGTTTTGGGGCTGGTTTGGGGGTTATTTAGGGGTGGGTTTGGGTTGATTTGGGGAGGTTTTGGGTAGATTTGGGGTAGTTTGCAGTGGGTTGGGGTGGGTTTTGGGGTGATGTAGGGGTTGTTTGGGGTTGATTTGTGGGTTTTGGGGTGCAAGGGGTGGGTTTGGGGGGTGATTTGGGGTGGGTTTTGGGTTGATTTGTAGAGGTTTTGGGGTGATTTAGGGGTGGGTTTGGGTGTTTTAGGGGGAATTTGGGGTGCAGGGGATGTGGTGGTTTTGGGGTGGGTTTAGATTGATTTGGGGTGGGTTTGGGGTGATTTTGGGATGCTTCAGAGTCTTTGGACTGGTTTTCAATAGATTGGAGTGGTTTGGGGGTGATTTAGGGGTAGTTTGGGGTTGATTTGGGGGGTTGGTGCAGCAGGATGGTTTTGGGGTGATTTAGGGGTTGGCTTGAGCTGGTTTGGGGCAGGTTTCGGGCTTGTTTGGACTGTTTTGGGCTAGTTTGGGGCTAGTTTGGGGCTGTTTTGGGGCTGTTTTGTGCTGGTTTGGGGCTGGTTTGGGCTGGTTTTGTGGCTGGTTTGGGCTGGTTTGGGGCTGGTTTGGGCTGGTTTTGTGGCTGGTTTGGGCTGGTTTGGGGTGTTTTGGACTGGTTTTAACTGGGGCTGGTTTGGGCTGTTTCGGGGCTCTTTTGGGACTGTTTTAGGCTGGTTTTGTGGCTGGTTTGGGGTGTTTTGGGCAAGTATTGACTGGGGCTGTTTTGGGGTGTTTCAGGGTGTTTTGGGCCGTTTGGGGCTGTTTTGGAGCTGTTTTGGGGCTGTTTGGGGCTGTTTTGGAGCTGATTTGGGCTGTTTTGGGCTTGATTTTGCCTGTTTTGGGCTGATTTGGGGGCTGTTTGGGGCTGTTTCAGGACGGTTTGGGGCTGGTTTGGGCTGGTTTGGGCTGTTCTGGGCTGTTTTGGGGCTGTTTTGGGCTGGTCTGTGGTGTTTGGGGGCTGTTTGGGGCTGTTCTGGGGTGTTTGGGGGCTTTTTTGGGCTGTTTTGTGGTGTTTGGGGGCTGTTTTGGGCTGTTTGGGGGCTGTTTGGGGCTGTTTTGTGGTGGTTTGGGCCGCTTTGGGCTGTTTTAGGGTGCATACATCGTTCTCGGCGGTGCCGCAGAGGCTGCAGGACTTGCACTCGATGCACTGCCAGCGGTAGGTGCGCACCGCGGCCGCCATGCTCACCGTGAACTGCAGGCAGGACGGGTGCCCTGCGGGAGGCAAGGAGCAGGGGGGCCTATGGGGCGTTGGGACGCAGGGGGGTCTATGGGGTGCAGGGGGTGTCTACGGGCTCTATGGGGTGCAGTTGAGGTGCAGTGGTGTCTATGGGGTCTGTGCAGTACAGGGGCCTCTATGGGGTGTACGGGCTCTATGGGGTGCGTTTGGGGGTGCAGGGGGTGTCTATGGGGTGCAGGGGTGTCTATGGGGTCAGTGGGCTTTATGGGCTCTATGGTGTCCATGGGCTCTATGGTGTCTATGGGCTGTATGGTGTCTATGGGCCTTATGGGCTCTATGGGCTCTGTGGTGTCCACGGGCTCTATGGTCTCTGTGGGCTCTATGGGGTCTATGGTCTCTATGGGGCTTTATGGGCTCTATGGTGTCCATGGGCTCTATGGGGTCAATGGCCTCTATGGGGCTTTATGGGCTCTATGGGTCCATGGGCTCTATGGGCTCTATGGGCTCTATGGTGTCCGTGGGCTCTATGGGGTCTATGGTCTCTATGGGGCTTTATGGGCTCTATGGTGTCCATGGGCTCTGTGGGGTCTATGGTCTCTATGGGACTTTATGGGCTCTATGGGGTCTATGGTCTCTATGGGGCTTTATGGGCTCTATAGTGTCCATGGGTGTCTATGGTCTCTATGGGGCTTTATGGGCTCTATGGTGTCCATGGGCTCTGTGGGGTCTATGGTCTCTATGGAGCTCTATGGGCTCTATGGTGTCCATGGGTGTCTATGGTCTCTATGGGGCTCTATGGGCTCTATGGTGTCCATGGGATCTATGGGGCTCTATGGGTCCATGGTCTCTATGTGGTCTCTGGGGTGCAGTGCGGGCTGGGGGCTGCAGGGGGCGGTACCTGCCCGGCCGCAGTCCGCACACGCAATCAGCTCCTCGGGACACGCCGGGGCCCGACGGGACCCCCCCAGGCAGAAGCCGCAGGGAGCGCCCGAGGGGGGGGGCGCGGGGGGGGGCGCGCCTGCTGCGGGGGGGGGGGGGGGGGGGAAGCATCGGGGTCACCCAGGACCCCCCGCCCCCCCAGCCCCATATGGCAATGGGGGGCAATGGGAGGCAATGGGGGGCAATAGGGGCTGTATGGGGGGGGTACCTGTGCTCCGGCGCTGGTTTTCAGGGACCCAGTTCAACTCTTTGTAAAACTCTAGGGGGGGGAAGGAGGAAAAGGGGGTGACGCCCCCCCCAGCACCCCTGGGACCCCCAAATGGCCCCAAACTCTCCCCCTTCCTCCCCCAAAGGCAGGGCTGAGATCCCCCCATTTGGGGCCGGGACCCCCCGATTTGGGGCCGGGACCCCCCCATTTGGGGCCGGGCCGCCCCATTTGGGGCCGGGCGGCCCCACTCACGCTTGTGGTGGTTCCTGCGGGGGGGCACAGGGCGCTCTCCCAGCTCCTCGCCCTCCTCCTCAGCCAGGTGCGTGTGCGTGTAGTGGTAGCTGAGCCCCGGGCGGTTCTTGTAGCGCTTCCCGCAGACTTGAAGGGGGACAAGGGGTCAGACCCCTCCTATCGCCCCCTATCGCCCCACATCGCCCCTGTCGCCCCCTATCGCCTCCTATCGTTCCCATAGCCCCCTATTGCCTCCTATCGCCCCCCATCACCCCTATCGCTCCAATAGCGCCCTATCACCTACTATCTCCCGCTATCGCCCCACATCTCCCCCCACCCCCCCGATAGCCCCCTATCGACCCCTATGGCTCCCTATCGGCCCTATCACTCCCATAGCCCCCTATCGCTTCCTATCGCCCCTTATCGCTTCCATAGCCACCTATCGCCCCCTATCCCACCCCATCACCCCTATCCCCTCCTCTCGCCCCCTATGACTTCCATAGCCTCCTATCGCCCCCGACGGCCCCCCATGCCCCCCACTCACTGTCGCACACGTAGGGCTTGTCCCGCTCCTCCAGTGCCGGCGGCTCCTGGCGCTTCCGCACCGCCCCCAGCCCGCACGTCTGGGGGGGCACAGGGGGGTCGGGGGGGAAACACCCCCCTTGGGTGTAGGGAACCCCCCTTTGGGTCTTGGGGACCCCCCTTTGAGTTTGGGACCCCCCCTTCGGGCTTGGGGAACCCCCTCGGGTGTAGGGAACCCCCCCTTTGGGTCCTGGGGTCCCCCCTTTGAGCTTGGGAACCCCCCTTCGGGCTTGGGGACCCCCCCTTGGGTGTGGGGAACCTCCTTTCTGTCTTGGGAACCCCCCTTTGAGCTTGGGAACCCCCCTTCGGGCTTGGGGGACCCCCCTTGGATGTGGGGAACCTCCTTTGGGTCTTGGGGACCCCCCTTTGAGCTTGAGAACCCCCCTTCGGGCTTGGGGACCCCACTTGGATGTGGGGAACCTCCTTTGGGTCTTGGGGAACCCCCTTGGGATGGGGAACCCCCCTTTGGGTTTGGGGACCCCCCTTTGCATCATGGGGAAGCCCCTTTGGGTTGGGGACCCCCTCTTTGGGTCGTAGGGAAGCCCCCATGGTTCTTTGGGCCCCCCTCATGTCTTGGGGCTCCCCCTGTCCCACCTTGCCCTTGGCCTTGTTCTTGCGGCGGGGGGGGTCATCGTCCAGCTCGTCCCCCTCCGGCTCATGGGGGAAATCACCTGGGGGAGGCTTCTGCAGGGGGGTACGGGGGAGCCATGGAGCAGGGGTGGAAAAGGGGTGGATCATGATGGATGGATGGATGGATGGATGGATGGATGGATGGATGGATGGATGGATGGATGGATGGATGGATGGGTGGATGGATGATGGATGGATGGATGGATGGATGGATGGATGGATGGATGGATGGATGGATGGATGGATGGATGGATGGGTGGATGGGTGGATGGATGGATGGGTGGATGGGTGGATTACGGATGGATGGATGGATGGATGATGGATGGATGGATGGATGGATGATGGATGGATGGATGGTGGATGGATGGATGATGGATGCATGATGGATGGATGGATGATGGATAGATGGATGGATGGACGGATGATGGATGGATGGATGATGGATGGATGGATGGATGGATGGATGGATGGATGGATGGATGGGTGGATGGATGATGGATGGATGGATGGATGGATGGATGGATGGATGATGGATGGATGGTGGATGGATGGATGATGGATGGATGGATGGATGGTGGATGGATGGATGGATGAGGGATGAATGGAGGATGGATGGATGGATGGATGGATGGATGGATGGATGGATGGATGGATGGATGGATGATGGATGGATGGTGGATGGATGGATGGATGGTGGATGGATGATGGATGGA